TTTTTTTTTTTTTTTTTTTTTAAGTTTTCTGGGGGAACCTCAGAGGGCACAAATAGTTTAAAAGCCAGTTCACTAACTGGCCACTTGAGGGCTCTTCTCTATTTTTACACAATGACTGTTGAGAAAGTTGGAAGGAAGCATTTAAGAAGTTTCGCAAGGGAAGATGGGAAGTTAGAAGCTGACTGTCTGCATAAAGTATGTGGACATAAAGCAAGATAAAAAGGAAATCAATCATGCATTATTGTAGATGTTGAAGACATAGAGCAGCAGAGCTTCAGGGGCAAACACCATAACCACTGCCATGATGCTGGTTTGTGAATTCTTGCTTTAAAGACAGTTCATCTAGTCATCAACCTCTTGGTTTTTCAAAGTGACCATATTTGGGCACACATGGACGTCTAGAATTTAGATTCTGTTCAATTACACCCGCAGAAAAATGTATAATTGTCAGATATTTGCATTAAAAACAAACTGGGTCAAGAAATCCACACAAATTAGCGGCAGTAAAGCCTAGCAGGTAGCTCACAGTCAAAATAGCAATACTTCTAATAAGGCAAAGTGTAATCAAATTTAAACTGGTGGTTAGCAATTAGCAGCTAATGCTCACTGAAATCTGTAGTGTGTGGAAAGCATGATCCCCTGACACACCTTGTGTTTGTTATAAGAACAGGAAAAACTGCACATAAAAAATATCCTGCATGCACACCTAAGAGCATTTACTCATTGGAGCAGCTGAAACACAACATCTTCAATCAAGATTACTTTACATTCAGGTACTTTTCATACCTGCAGACTATCATGGGTTAGACGATGAAATACTCACTGTTTTCTTGTCCATCTTGTGTGCTCGTTGTGGAGAGTGACAGCAGTAAAAACCATACGATCATGATAATCCTGCCGTGTTTATTTCTTTGTAGAAAAAAAACTTCATGGATTGAGTCAAATGGTTGCCATAGCTGTGGTGATAAACATTTACAAATGGTTGTAAAGCAGGTTCCTGAGGCTTCCTTTATAGAAACAAAAAACCTTCACACACAAAACACTTTTGTGAGTTTTATTTGAAGACTCTGAAGAAAAAAGTCACAGTGTCAGTAACTCCCTGGAGTCGCTCTCCCTTCTCATGTAAGCTTTGGAAAATGATTTCAGTTCATGATTGTGAAATCCATGTGAGCTCCAGTACAGGAAACAGAGCAGTCGCGTTCTCGTAACTGTGACTCACAGCAGCGAGGTCAGACATTCCTCACTTGCTCTAAGATTGTTTTCAGACTTGAAACTGACTTTTTAGAAAAACACTAGTCAGAGAGAGAGAATCAGCCATCAGACTAAGGAAAACACTTGTTATCAGTGGTTCAGAACAGAAGCAGGGAGGTTTTTTTCCAGGTAAACAAAAACAAAACGCCCAGATTAAATCTCTTAAACAGAGGCTTCTCGGATCTTGGTTAAGGATGAGATTTCTGTCAGTTCACCTATCAGTCAGTATGCTGCAGTTTTTCCAGTAATGAAAGGGAGGAACAGGAAGAAAGGAATACAAGGAAAATTGAAGATAAGGAAGCACAATAAGTGCTACATTAAACAATACTTCTTATTAAGAGGCTGTTACAAGCTTTTATGTACTCCTTTTGTTTGGCTTTCCTCCAACTCATCCCCTGACAGCAGTAAAACTGACTCCCCTCCCCAATTCTGAGTAAAATCCTTTCTGCCTCACCCTGCCCTCTGCTTCCTGGAGTGTGGACATTGGTTGAACATGTCATTTGGAGCCAGTAAATTTGGACAGTAAATAAAAGTGTTGGGATGTGCCTGGAATGAGCTCTTAACAGTACAGTAGGACTCACATAGACTGCATAAATGGTGCTTCAGGTTTTTTCAGTCTTATTGTCACATGTGTATGAAATCAAATCACCTAGCCATGTAGTTTGCCTTCACAGACATTTGTGAAAGAGCTCACTGAACTGGTCTAATATAGGATGCTACTGTTGCAACATGTCAGTTTCCTCCCTGTTGAATACTAAGGAGTATGTGGTGTTACTGCAAAGCAGAAGTATTTATGAGCCACAGGAAGTTGCTGAAGTGCCTAAAAATCACCAAGGCTCTGCTTACTCAGTGACTGCAGAGCTGCAAAACTTGCTGACATTAACATCAGCACAGAAACCCAGAGCCAGGGGCTTCATGGCATGAGTTTCCACGGTCAAGCAACTCCTTCAGGTGGTCAGGCACTTAATTTCTTCCATTCATCCATCCTTTCCTGATTATCCAATTCAGGGTCGTGGCTTTAATGTTCCGTATACAGAAAATGACTGGAAGAAGACACTATGAATACATAAAGCATTTAATTAAATAAGGGGGGATTTTTAAACAGGAAAATAAAACCATAAATCATTAAATAAAATTTCATTTTGTGATTTTTTTTTTTTGTCTCTAATATGGTAATAATAAGATAATAACACAACAAAAACTACTGTTTACACACATACACACACTTCTTAGTCCATGCACAAAGCCACTTTTTAGTTGTCATGAGTGACTGTGAGAAGGAAAATTACCCGAGTCAGTTATCTAATGAAATTCCTCCTTTATCAGTCATTTGAACCAGATCGTAATGGCAGGCTTAGTTTTGTTTTCATACAAAGACAACAAAGAAAAGGTTCAGGCTTTCCTTTTCCCACTAAACATCTAGAGAATTCCCTCCACTCCCTGTTTCCACTGAATTTTCATTTCGGAACCACACAGCACTCCAGAAATTCCAGAGAAGGCAAGTGAGTATGTGAGTTTATAATTGCAGTGTTGACTTTAAACTGAGCTACAAGCTGATCTGCAGCTGCACTGAGAGCCGCACTGAGTCACTGGTTTTACTAGACGTGTATTTAGCCACGTCTTCATGTGTGATGTCAGCTGTTGGGAATTTTTTCTTTCTTGTTATCTCCTGTCCACAGAATTATGAAAACACAACAATCCTATTCTAAGGTGTTCTCACCAATGACACACAGCTTTAAACAGTTTTCTCAGATGTCGGCATATAAGAACATTAAGTTGCTTTTTGTAGTTATCCTTCTGTAAGACTGTGTACACAGATATTGTCGGGCATGTCCTTTTAAATTATTACATTTATTTTTTATCACATATACTTACTCCACCATCATGTGGTACAAATTAATACAATTCAGTTGATAAACAGACGTTTTTTTTAAAAAAAATTCTTAACAGGGTAATTTACCAAAAGTGACTTTAAATATAGCTGTAAATGAGCCTTTGCTGCTCATTTACAGCTCTTTGGGTGGGGTGGGTGGGGGGGGGCGTTTCCAGGATTTTTTACTTGGTGTTTCAGAGAAACAAAGTTTGGCCAGAGGATTGAGTGGACAACCACTGGGTGTGACAGAGTTTCATGACCTTGAGGCATACTGTGGGCTCAAAATATGAATATTTTTTTTCTGGACAGCACAGTGACACAGTGGTTAGCACTGTTGCCTTACAGCAAGAAGGTCCTGAGTTTGACTCCTCCATCTGGGCAGGGCCTTTCTGTGTGGAGTTTGCTGGAGCTTCCCCCCATAGTCCATGCAGTTAGTGAGGTTAGATTGCCTTAGATTTATGCAAAAAAAATTAAGGGCTCAAAAGTCTGTTAGACTGGACTTCTTTGAAACACAAATATTTAGAAAAGTGTTTGATATATGGAGCTAAAGAAATTCAGGAATCATTATATATGTCTAAATTTTGGATCATAAATTCGTTTTGCAAATCAGAGACGCTTAAGCAGAAAATGTTTTGAAAAGCCGTAAATGAGCCCTTTAAAAATTCTCCAACTTTACCTTGAACATCTTTATCTAGAATTAGTAGATTCAACCATTAAGTTTCACACAGTTAAAACTTGGACAGAGTTGGGTAATCCCAAATATACGTCAGCACTTATTTTGGTATTTTGGAATAAGTCAAGCCAACAATAAGCTTCAGAAGTAACTTTCCCAAAACCCAACCGCAACCCTACTAAAAACTATGTGATCCAGTCTTTATCCAGGAAACCAGTAAATTTAAATGAACTTCATCAGTTCTGCCAAGAAGGTCAAATCCAGCCAGAATTTTACCAGAAGCGTGTTGATGGCAACTAAAAGCATGTGGTTGAGGAAGGAACTTGCTAATGGACAGTTAAACTAATATTAGTAGGAGGGGCTGAAAGGGTGCCTCAACTACTCTGCTGGAGTCAAAGTAGTCTGTAGCTGTTGCTGATAAATCTAATATAGTTAAAAGCACAACGAATCAGGACATGCAGGAGAAGTAGAAACGCCTCAAAAAGTACACCTAAGTATAATAGCTGTGTAAATGTACTTTACACTCCTGGCATGCAACGTGTGACAGCTCATCATTAATGCAGAGCTGGCTCCCTCTAGTGTTCATTACTCATGCCAAAATCAACACCACAGGTCACACAGTCTTCATGGTGCTTTACTGTTTCTCTGGAAACCAACAACCAACTTTCTGGCAGTAACCAGACACAATCAAAGCATCACATAAAACACTTTGGAAGTTTATTGTTTTATTGGTTTACAGCATTGAATCAAAGGTAAGTTCTTGGTTCTTATAAACAAATCAATTCAATTCAATTCAATTTTATTTATATAGCACCAAATCACAA